TGCGGGTACAATCCCTGGGTCAGGACGATTCCCTAGAGAAGGAGATGGCAACCCACTCCAGTATTCTTGCCTGGAGTATTCCATGGACAGGAGAGCCTGGCAGGCCACAGTCCTGTAGGGTCACAAAGAGTCAGACACGACTGAGCGACTGAGCATGCACACATCATCTCGAGGGCTGTGAAGTTACGAGAGGAATTCAGAAGCTGAAGGGCAGGACAACGCATAGCTGATCACCTTGTGTGTGAAAGTACTGGGGCAGGATTGGACGTAGCACAAACACCCTGGCAGACACACAAACCAAGTAGCCTCAGTTGTCGGGCAAGGAGTCATGTCTAGGCTATGGGAGTGGAGGAGGCGATATTTTTTTTTTTCTCCATGGGACTTTTAACTTACTTTGTTAAATTTTGACCCATAATGGAGCACTATATATTCAAAAGAGTCAACTGAATATTCTGAGAATGGTGAAATTTCTTTTAATGGTAGATTAAAAACAGCCGCACTTGGGGGAGAATAGATACGTGCGTATGTATGGCTCGAGTCCTTTGCTGTCTGCCTGAAAGTATCACAGCATTGTTCATCTGCTATGCTCCAACCCTGAGTTGTTTTAAAAAGTGGCATTTGTTTGTGAGGAGACGCCGGGAAATGAATAATCCTCTTCTCAATCCCTGACACAGCCCTGTGGCTGCATCTCATGTTGTCCAACCAGGAAAGCCCGCAGCAGAGGAGACTCTGGATCTTACTGCAGTGGATGTAAGATTCTTAAGCTACTTCCTTATAAATGTAACAATTTCCCACAAGGACATCTAAACCAATTCAAGCCCACATCTGCATACTGTAAAGAAAAGTTGGTCTTTAGACACTATGAGCAAACACTCTAGAATGAGCTGATTTTTTCTCTATAAGCATGTCCTGCAGACCAGGAGGGGTCCATAGACCAGATGCTCTTGGAAACCCATGCATCTTTCCTTTATAAGATGTTTTTAATTCTGCTCTTGAGTTTCAGTCATAACTAAGCACGTAAGGACCTATAAAAGCTTTGTTTTATGGATGAATTGGACTTGGTTGTGATCTGCTAATAAGAAAAAGAGAACTGGAATTTATTACCCATGATTCCTTCATACAAGAAAGGTCCCGTCAGCATCCAGGTGACGGGAAGGATATTCTCTATAGTTTAAGGAGAGGGGAGTTGTGAGAACTCTCATCATCACACAGCACAGTGTGTTTAACACAAAAGAAGCACTAAAAATCTGAACAGCATTTACAGGGAAAGCAGCGACTTAAACCCAACGACGACACTGATGTTATTAATTTAAATATTACTGATAGTAAAGCTTTACTTGCATGCAATTTTCAATTTAATGTGCAAATGGCAAGCGTAAAGGGTTTATCTTAGCTTTATTTGTGTACATCTTCGAATAATAGAATTAAAATAATTTATGCCAACACTAGGGATCGTTGAGAAAATGTATCCGTGGACAGAGAGCCCATGTAGCATTCATGCTGCAGAAGCACTACCTGGTAAAGAGCTCTATAAACTAAGAAAGCCAGGTTCCCTTGTGAATTACTGAGGCCTCTTTCCAGAAGAAAGTGACGCCGATTCACCCCGTAAAGTGTCCGTCTCAGCTGCAGGGGTGCTGATGCTCAGATGTCAGTCATTACCTTGAGAACACAGCTGGAAGGTTCATCCTTTCTCCTCCCATTCACCTGTCCAGGTACAAGAGTCCAGGTGGGCTTGGGGATGCCCTGGGGTGTCTCCACTTGTCTGATCTGAAGCGCAGCCGTGCTATTACACAGTAATTCCTGACCCTTCTGCTTGTTCCCTGTCTTGTCCCAGTAGGTAGTCATTCGGGCATCAGCACAGTATGTTCGGCTGCAGGCAGCAAACCCTACAGAGCCCAGCTGTAACAGTGTGAGGCTTCATGTTCCTTGTGTGACGGAATCTCAAAGGTGGGTAGCCTGGAAGCTTGAAGCTTCCGGGTTCACGTCTCTGCAAATCTCTTGGTCTCTGTCTCCTTGCAGGAAATCAGCACTCCTCCAGGTCTCAAGATAGCAGCAGGAGGGTGGGGAGGCCTCCAGGGCACAACCCTGCCCTGGGGACTGGGATAAGGGGCTCTGAGGGTGGACCCTGTCTGTTCCCAGGCCCGGGACGTATGCAGACCAGTCAGCATTTGCCCCCTGCCCCCTTGGCCCCACCTGGCCACCCCAGACCCTGCTGTGCCAGGGACCAGGGCAGGGCCGGTGGGAGGAGGCGCCACCCTGCCACAGACCAGCCTTTCAGTTTCACTTTCAAAAACACCGTCACGCCGGCTGATAATTGCAAGAAACCCAAGAATTGTAGGAAAGTCCACAATTTATGAAAACAAACTGAAGTTTCATAAAAATGTGCTCGGAATATCAGCCCATTCGATGTAATAACAAAAACACTCGTTTGGTGTATCCAATATTGTTTGGACAAGATTCAATTTTATTTTTAGGAGATTTCAATTTCCTTTCCCATAAACTTCGTGAAATACAGTATGTGGCATATTTATAGTGACCCTTTAGAAGAGTGTTACACTTTTGGACACTTTAATAAGTCTAAATGAGATGGTCTCCCCCTCACCTTACTGAGCAAATAAATAGATGGTCGTGACAATCATTGGAATTAGGCCTGTGTCCTTTGCCTCCCGGGCTTCCCCCATCTTAAGGCTTCCCGTTCATATAACGAGAGCTCTCTAAAGATGGTTCTAGGCAATAAAGACAATATTTAGGGCCATCTGGTGATTCCATCCAATTTATTTCTTTGACAAGACTTATAAATAAGAAGGCATAATTTCCAAAAGCAATCATGAAATTTACTAGGCAAACCGCACACCGCAGACCCCTCTGCACACTTTTCCTTCTCGTGCACAGGAGGGGCCTCTTACATCAGAGCCTTTTACTGCACTTTGCGTTTCCAAAGCACTCTACAGAATTAACCAATTCACTCTCAGAGAACAGAGGGTGCTGGTACCCGAGCTGCGATGGAGTAAATGGGCAGGGCCGCTCCACACCTGGAGAAAGTTATCCCGGACTGGCATACACCACAGATACAGACTGCCCCCAACCCCCCGGACACCTGCCGTTTCACACCAGGTGACCCCTGCAGGAAAGACTGCCCTCATGCTCTGCAAGGAACAGGGCATCCTGGCCTCCCTGCACCGACGGAGACAGCAAAACCACCGACCTTTCCCGGGCCAGCCCAGAGCACCCCGCAAGGAGCATCGTCCCCCAAAGATCCTCAGGAGCCCAGGTGGCCAGCAGGTAGAGTGCCCACTCCTTCCACCCTCCCCTGGTCACTGAGCTGTATTTTAGGTTGAGTTTCACCGTGTCCACTTTGCTTTTCCAATAAGCCCCCCAGTATGCAGTCCCATGAGGAAGACCTCCTGCACTGGTGCAGACTTAATCCCAAGACCCTGAAATCACTCAAGACGTGCTGGAAATCAGTCCCTTGGGTCTTTTCCCAGGGACTGTGATAACGGGAAATGCATTTCAAAAAGTGCCTTGCCCATCCGTTCTGTGGAACGTTACTCAGAAATAACTAGGAGCGGAGCTGTTGATACATACCACGGCCTGGGCAAACCCCGTGGGGTCTGTGCCTACTAAAGAGAACCCCGGCCCCAGGGCTTACAACGCCCCACGCTCCCATTTAGGCCACACCCTTGAGAGAACAGGATTCTGGAAGCAGGGAGCAATTTACTGGTTTCCAGGAGGCTGGAACGGGAGGGGATGGTGGGGCCGGGGGAGGTCAGAGCGTCTCTAGGAGTCCTAGATGCAGGATGTCCTGTATCCTGATCATGGGCATCTGCACGATGACCACGAAGTAGAATGAGACACGCACCCAGGCGTGTGGGCGGAATGGGTCATTGGGCAGGACATGCCGCTGTCTGCTGAGTGTGTATCCTGTATTTTGTGAGATGTTTTGCTGCTAGAGAAACTGGACATGGGGATCGGTTCTGTGTCATTTCACACAGGCACTGGGCATTCTGCAATCGCCTCCAAAGTAAACACTGGAGGACAGAAGGGTGTTGGGTCCCAGGATATCGGGGAGCAGACCTTCCATCCCACTAGTGTGCCCTCCACGTGTCCGGAGCAGAGTCTGTGATCCCACTTGGGGTCTGCCTGTGTGGAGTCTGCAGAAAGAAAAGAAAAAGTGAAGTCGCTCAGTCATGTCCGACTCTTTGTGACCCCATGGACTGTAGCCCACCAGGCTCCTCCGGCCATGGGATTTTCCAAGCAAGAGTCCTAGAATGGGCTGCCATCTGCTTCTCCAGGTGAATTCTGCAGAGGCCCCAGCTGATGGGGGTGTGGGGGGTTGGCACACGGCGCTGGCTAATTCTTCCTCCTTCCTTCATTTTGAAAGGTCTCACTTGAATCTGACCCTACATTCCCAGAGAACAGCTTTAGAACTCATTCTGATATCATGATGAGATATCTTCTAGACTCCACAGAGGCAGGGGCAGGGGGTTCCAAGAGCATCAGGCTCTTTGGGGAGCAGCCCACGGATAAGCCTGCGAGCAGGTCTTAAGGCAGCGGACAGAATTGTTCCAGAAAGCATGAAAGGGGTCAGGCCACTTCTCTGACCCAGCTCCCCCAACAATCCCTATTTCTCTCCTCCTAAAAGCTCACATCATGACCAGAGCGTCCGGGCCCCCAGGCTGCACCCCTGGACCCCTTATTCCTTCCTGTCTGCCTGCCTTCCCTCCAGGCACGGGGCCTCCGCGCCCCAACAGGCAGTCCAGGCTCTCTTGCTTGCTTCTCTCTCTGGAGAGTTCACCCTCTCAACACCTCCATGTGGAGACAGATCCAGGTGCGGGCAGCAGAAGTTTATGCAAGGATGGGGTGAGGAGAGGGGTGGAGGCTTTTTGAGGAAAAGAATTAGGCACAAAAGTGGACATTTATGGAGAATGAGAGCATGAAATTACAAATCTGAAAAGTTTAATGAAGACCACGTACACCACAAAGCCCAAGATGATAACGCGTTAATCAACTGCCAGACACTCCTCGAATCCTGTGCCACATTTGTATCGCGTCTCCTTATGACAGCGATTTACTGATACAACCTTTGCACAGAGAGGAGAGCTGTGCTGGCGTGCGGCTGACCGACAGGAGGCTGGTTTTTGTCTCCGGTGTTTGGGAAGCAGGACCACGCTCCTCACACACAGGTGCGCTTAAGGTAGAGACTCAACAAGGCTGCCCAACAAAGAGATTCTGGTAAATTCCGTGTGGGTCTATTTTCAGTTTGAGAAAGAGAGAAAGGACCCCGTGTCTACAGTGGAACACGCCGCTCAAGAAAGAAGGTTCCGGAAGCCAAGAGTTCCAACTCAGACCTGAATCCTCTTCACTTACACCCGTGCAGAGAGGGTGACCGGGAAAAGGCCTGGCATCCCGCGCTTCAGCCCTGGCTTCTGGGGAACCCTAAGACACACCGGCTGGACGCTGGTCCAGAGAAGACTCTGGACACCTATAGTCTTCATGCCCATTACCCCCATGGGTGGTCTCATGAGTGACGGGCACATCCCCACTAACGCCCGAGTCTCTACAGAAAACCGTGTTTGCAAACTATCTGCCTACTCACTGAACCCACTAGGGGAGTCCAGCTCATCTTGACCCAGATCCCCGGAAATCCCACGGCTCCCAGCCTGGGCCAGTTCATTGGAGGGGGTTTCAGGTTCCCACCGGAACAACCTGGGCTCCGTCCAGGGGCTCCGTGGGGCTCCGTCCTCCCCCTCCCCCTTTCTCCTCTGTGCCTGCAGGCCAACATCCCCTGTGTCTCACGTGAATGTACGGCTGGTCTCCCGCCCCCGGAAGAGAAGATTCCCCTTCTACAGGGTCCATGCGGGGTCCCTGGGCCTAGAGAGATCCTGACACAGTAAACACTCACTGGATAAATGGATCAAAAGCTCTTGCGTCCCTAACTGTCCCTCCGCGAGTCTGTGCCTGGGCACCTGGGATGCGCGTCCCCACTGCAGCCATGCCCCACTGGGACATGCCTGGCAGTGGGCATCACCCGTGGGGAGGACTCCGCCTTCCAGCTCTTTCAGGACCACAGGGAGCCACAGAAACCCGATCTGGAGAGACTTAGGGGTGGGGCTGGAGTCCCGCGGGTGAGGCAGTCTTGATCTTGAATAGCACTGGGGATACAGAAGCCTGGAGGCCAGAAGAGGTGAAGGTCCGTCTCCCGCAAGCCTGGGGGCCCTGCAGGGCTGCGCGATGCTGAGTTTCCCTGGTGGCCGGATTGCACTGGGGGCTCCCTAAGGAAGCAAGGAAACCTCAGGGCTTTGCTAGGAGAGAGGAGACCCAAGGGTCAGGCTGGTGGGATGCACAGACCCCCAGCTCCAGAGTGATGGCAGCTCACCCAGCAGACCCGGGGGGATTCAGACCATCGCAGAGAAGCGGATGGAGGGACCCAGGTGCCCAGGTGGGCACCAAGCCAGGGTCCTGGGAGGCAGAGCCAAGTGCCTGCAGCTGAATTGAACAAACTGCCCATCACAACCCCATAGAAATGGCAGTGTGTCCAATCTCTAGGAAGTTCTGCAGGAAAGACACACTTCCCAAATTTAACCCAGCATTTCCCAAACTCATATTATTTCCTTGTATTCAGGCACTTTTAAAAACTGGTTCTGAAGTCAGGGGAGCATCTGGGAAGCCCGGTTGGTGTTACATGTCGGATGAATTCCAGAAAAGCTGTTATTAAGTTAATGGTGCATATTACAGTTGTCAGCACCTTAGAATTAGGGAAACATGATATTTAATTATCCACTGTTCTACCAAATTTCCCCTTGAACGCTGAGAATGGCGTTTAAGAAAAGCCGCTGTGTGAGGAGGGCTGAGCGACACGGAACCCCAAGTCTGCGATGATGGAAGCACCCAGCGCCTGGGGGGCCAGCCTGGCCCCGCCTCCGGGGCCCACTCCTCCGCCTCCCAGCCCGGTCTCCACGGGGAGCAGCCCCTCACGTAGGTGTGTGGCTGCCCTGACCGCTGGCCTTGCCCTTAGCGCCCTCGGAAGGGGGACCCAGCTACGGGATCCCCGGTCTATCATCGGGACCCCCAGCCGCGTCCTGCCCTTGGTCCTGCTGGGTTGGGTTCCTGGGAGACTTTTTCATCCGATTCTCTGAAGACCAGTCCTGGCCCCAGCAGATGAGTCCTCATGGGACCTGTCACCCCAAGATCCTGCCCCGCCTGCTGGGAAACTTAAGGGACTCCGGGTCCCCAAAGTGCCAGGAACGAGGGAGCCACTCGGCTGGTCCAGGCTGGACTCCAGGGTCTGATTTCACGGGGGCTGCACGTCTGAGTCCAAGACACATGGGGGCTCTCTCCTCACGACCCCAAGGGGAGCCTCGTGGTTGATCTGGAACCTGGAATAGGGTCCGCATGGCAGCTTGGAGCTCACACCCTGCGAGGTGGCTGCAACAGGAAACCCAACCAAGAGCAGGACCGCTTTGCGGCTTTTTGTCTTGAGACAAAGTTTCCTCCACCTTGTTAATTTGGAAACAGGTCAAACCTGTGAAAAGTTAAAAAAAACAAAACAAAAAACAGAACAATGAGCCTCCTGTACTTTTCACTGGGCTTTACAAACTGATGTAACAGCTGACCGTGAGCAGGGCAGGGGGCCCCCCAGTGAGGGATGACACCGGTGACGGAGCCCGCCAGGGCAGGGGTGCCCGGGGGAGCCCCATCCAGCCTGCTGGCTGGGGTGCTGACGGACATTCTCATTTCTTTGTCAGGACGTCCCACATGAGATGACATGGTATTTACCTGACCACACTGGTCCCATTGGGCAGGATGTGGGGCTTTGTCTCAGAAAAAGTGCACCGCCTGGAATCCAATTAGCCTCATGTGTCCACAGTCTCCCTGGCCCAGGGGCAGCCAGACTGGGACCCAGTGGTTCTGCACCCCACGGGCAGCAGGCGAGGCTGCTTCCGGCTCCAGATGCCGGGGGAGGACCACTTCGAGGGCTCAGGCGCCTCCAGGCTTCGCTCTGGCCCAACACGCCCGCGTTCTGGAAAAACAGCGCGGCCACCAGGCGGCCACGTGTCCCGGGAATGCCATTTCATCTCAGCAGATGTGCTTTAGAAGCATCTAAGTGGCACCTACTGGGAACAGTAATGGACTTATTTCCTGGGCTTTAAATCTTGACGCAGTGTTTACTACCCGGATTCAGATGGAGACCGTGACAAACGTACAAACTCAGACACCTCCGTTCAGGCCCTAAGAGGCGCGTGCTGAATAGCTTTTCAATATCTGCAGCGCCCTGCTCCCCACTCTGAGAGTTTAGAGACACTGTTATCACTGGCCGGGTGACGGGAGCGCCGATCACTGCCATCACTGTTCTCACTGGGGTTTAATGAAGAGTGAGCTACGGGCACGCGGCACACGAAGACCCCTGTATTTTCATAATTACAGGCAATATTTCACAGTGGGTTACACGAGCATCTCGTCAGGTGTGTAATGCAATGGAAAAAAGGCAATTTCCAGACTCCAACACACCTGGGTGCATTTCCCAGCCTTCCACGTGCTTAGCAGTACCTAGACCTGGAGTGAGAAGCCTGAATTCCTGAAGCTCGGCTGTCTCTTCCCTAAATGGGTTATTCTTTTCTTGACCTCATGAGGGTGTGTGGAGGTTAGATCTGATGATAAAGGGGGAGTGGGTGTCTTCCACCTAAAAAGCACTTACAGTTTAACAATTGTCCATTGTTACCTCCTATTTCCTAAGCTAGTTCTGCTCATAAGTAAGGAAGCAAGGTAGCATAGACAAAACAAAAATAGTTTCTAAACTGCAATTTATGAAGCTGTGAAGAAACCTTACCAGTGTCTGATTCTAAGTTCATAATAAGAATCTCAAACACTACTTGGTTCCCTGAGTACGTTTCCTCCTTCTAACCCAGTCATTTGGTTATACTTTTTTCCCATTATAAAATTTAATTAATGGCACAGACTCCATTAACCTGCACGTTTTGTTTTGGCGCAAAGTGAGCCTATGCTGGGGGCTTTCCTGGTGGCTCAGCCGGTGAAGAATTTACGTGCAACGCAGGAGACCCCAGTTTGAGTTCTGAGTTGGGAGGACCCCCTGGAGAGGGGAGAGGCTACCCACTCATCTGATGGCTCAGATACCAAAGACTTCGCCTGCAGCGCGGGAGACCTTCGTCCAACACCTGGGTGGGGAAGGTCCCCTGGAGGAGAAAATGGCAGCCCACTCTAGCATTCTTGCCTGGAGAACCCCCATGGACAGAGGAGCCTGGCGGGCTACAGGCCATGGGTTCGCAAAGAGTTGGACAGGACTGAGTGATTAAGCACACCACAGAGAGCCTTTGTTGGGAGCACCAGTTTAGGTATTTTATGGTTCTGAAATACTGTGGCATGCCATCTATTTATCCGAAGGAATGTGTGGATACTCAAGCTTCATTATTCAGAAGTAGTAAATTTTAATCTGTGACATCATCATCTGAATGGGTCTACACTAAACTCCTCCCTGTATCACCTGGTTGAAAGGACCTCAGCATCCTTTTTTTGTGGCTTCCAAAAGGACCGGTTTTCACATCCCATCTCCCATGTTTCCTGTCCAAAACTTCCATCTTTAGTCATCATCACTGGCCAACACTTCAAGATTTTGTTGGGAAAAATTAAAAGCAGACTCTAGGTAGAAAATACTCTAAGATTATACGTGTAAGGAAAACTTACATTAAGGTGAAAGTCCTTGAAGACCAGGGTCCGGGAGCTCTCAGGATACCTGACATTGACAGACGCGTGGCCGAGAGCCCAGAGGGAGGAGGTGGCTGGGCTTGTCCCTCGGGGATTCGCTCCGGGTGCCAATCACTGAGCACCCCACACTTGAGTCATTTCAGGACTAACATTCTTCACATGAGAAAGCAGGAAAAGAGTGGCACCTGTTTTGTCAGGCATGATAATAAAATCTCAGAAGGGAGCATATGCATAAAATAGTGTTGGCAGCAGACAGTATTGTTGCTATTGTTCAGTTGCCCAGTCGTGTCTGACTCTTTGCGATGGACTGCAGCACGCCAGGCCTCCCTGTCCTTCACCATCTCCCAGAGTTTGCCCAGATTCGTGTCCATCGAGTCAGTGATGCCATCCAACCATCTCATCCTCTGTCGCCTCCTTCTTCTCCTGCCCTCAGTCTTTGCCAGCATCAGGGTCTTTTCCAATGAATCAGCTCTTTGCACCAGGTGGTCAAAGTATTGGAGCTTCATCATCAGTCTTTCCAATGAATATTCAGAGGATGGTATTACTACGCCTTCTCAAGGACATTCTAAATATCAAGATGCTGGATTCTATTGTTCCTGCAGGTTGTGGAAACAGCCATAGAGAAAGCAAAATGATGGCAAAAGAAACACTTACCCTATTTGCCTGCTTGCTTTCTAAAAAGGGTTGCATTTACCACTTGAAGGCCAAGGCCACTTAAGGAGTGAGGTTGGACTCAAGGCAGGATCTCAGCACACACTCTTCTGATGGCTGCCTCCACCCCCAGGAATCGGGAACAGTTGTACAGCCTGGAGCATATGAGCAGGTCTGGGAGGCAGCACAGATGCACCTCGGACGGGACCGGAGGGGCACCTTGTTGGGGCAGCCTGCCCTCGGGCACCTCGGAGCCCAGTAGCCTTGTCTAAGAAGATTGCAGTAGTGCTCACATGGGACCCAAGGCCCCGAGAACGCAGTCTACTCAAACACCTTGTCACCGTGGCGGGGACAGTGAGGGCCACACGTGTGTCCCTGTCACTCGCTAGCTGCCGGGCCTGGGGCAGCCCCTCAGCCCCTGCCCCCTCCGTCTGCTCATCTATAAGGTGGGTTCACACCGTCCGCGGGGTTGCTGTCAGTACTCAGCTCCTGTCTGGGATGGGCTGGACGGGACACTGGGAGCAGGGCCCTCCCTGAGTTAGCTAGCTCCAGAGCTGATCTCAAGGGGCGTCTTGTTTGTCCTCCAGCCTGTCGTCCAGGTCTTCCCAGCATCTCCAAAGAATGGCCCCGCCCAGTCATTGCTGACATAAGGGGTGGGGAGGGGAATGTCACATGGCAGTCAGACAGAATGGACCCACAAGAGCCAATGAGCAGAGAGCCGGCAGGTCTTGACCCAAGAGTGGAAACCAGGGTGGGGCCTCCAGACAGGCTAGACATTCACACCTTGATGTCAGCACCCACGGCTGAGCCTGGAAAGCAAGGCTGGTCCTTCCAAGCAAACCGCGGGGAGGACTGCAGCGTGGGTGGGTTCCCCAGGCCTGGAACCAACTCGGACAGGTCAGGCCGCACCCGCACCCAGGTCTGAAAGGAGAGGCATTGTTGACAGCAGAAGGACCCAGAGTTTCCGCATACACGGAGTAGGGGAAAATCCAGAGGAAAGTTCTACCATTCCAAAAAACTATGCTTGTAAAATACTTCTGAGCAAATCACTCTGCTTTTAACAGTTATTTACTGGATTTTATACCTAAATGTGAACCAAAGTCGTAAAAACATAATGACTTAGTGCGACGCTTTTCAATTTCCAGTCCCAGAACAGCAACGCATGGTTTTAATGTTTAGCTGGAATTGTTTGAACGTCCCAAAAATATGGTACGAGTTGCTGTCGGCATTAGAATCAGTTCCTCAGAAAAGCCGCCACTTCTCTCCCTGCCCTCCTTCCCACCCTCAACCCCCCAGCTGGTGTCCAGGTGCCAGCCCAGCTGGGAGGCTGCCTCCAGGGGCCCGGGGGGCAAAACTTCTAGCCTTAGCCTGACGTTGCCAGCAGTCCAAAGCAGCCGGTTCTGTGAGAAACCTCCATGGACGAGGTTTCTATTGTCAGAAACTTGGCAGGAAGGACTGTCACTGCTGCAAGTGATGTAAAAGAAGGTCGTTCTCAAGTCAGGATGGCGTCAGCTCCTGAAGGCAAAAACAAAATGCATCCGTAAGACTGGAGGCCTGTGACACCTGAGACAGGAAGCCAGAAGGAGGAGGGGCTCGGGCATCCAGCGGGGTGCCCTGGACCAACAGCCACAACTTAGCCTCCACCTCTCCTTTCCATTACCCCAACCCCCATTCCTGTCCTTCTAGCTCCTTCCTAAGTTGCATCAGAAGTTTCCACGGGTTTCTGAATTCCAGGCCTCCCGGAGCAGTCCACAGGGAGCCCCGTCCATGCCTGCTCTCCTTGGGGCCCCGGGACAGAGCAGGACTTGCCCTGTGCAGCCTCCATCAGCTGAGGGACTAGGCTCATGGGAACCACAGCCCTGGCCGGGAGCCAGGGTGGCGGGATCTGCCTCCTGTCTCTGGGCCTGACCAGCCTGAGCCCCTGGCCTTCCAGAATGCCTGAAGGCATGGCCCACGGTGACCGATGGTCCCAAAGACCCTGCCTCCAAAAAGACAGACTGGAGAGGGGAAAGGAGCACCAGAGAGGGGAGATAAATTCCTGAAGACAAGGTGAGGATCAGCTAGCATCATCCTTAGAGCGATGCACCCTGGGGAAAGGGGACAGAAAACAGCTGAGACTTTTGCAAAGGTCCCTGCGATGTGCCAGAATGCAGAGTCATCCTCAGGAAGCCATGGTTAGGACCTCTCCCTTCACCCTGAGAATGGCAGGAGGCAGCAAGGAACCAGCCTCAGCCAGGCACCTTCGATGCCCTGGGGACTCTGCTGCGAGCCACCCCACGGCTCACCTCGTCCCATCCGACCTCTGGTCTGGGGCTTAGGTGGACTGGACAGGAGTACTGGATGCTCAGAAGTGCTGAGTGAACTTCGCTCCCAAAGCCTCGAGGTTACAGAGGACGGCTAGATTCCCAGGCACGTGGCTCGCGGGTCGGGTCCCTCCTGCAGTGAGGTGTGAGGCACGCCCCCTCCTGAAGGTGAGTGTGATGTGGCCTTCGTGTGGGGGAGTGGGGACGGGGAGAGCCGCCCCACGTCTAAAGCTCGGCCCCGTCTCTGGTCCCAAGATCCTGAAGCAGTTAAATGGTGGATTGAGGAGCAGTCGGCCCCGTGGGAGTCTTGCCCGTTTCCCCAGGGCAGGAAAGAGACAGCCTGTCCAGGGACCTCCCCCGTCCACCGCTGCGGGTGACTGCTGAACACCTGTCTCTACAAAGATGCACTAAGGCCAGACTGTGAAAGGGGCTCCTTGAAAAGAAATAACCTTCACTTACATTTCTCTTTCACGACAGTATCTTTTATCATAATGCAGCAGGTTCGCATTGCGTTTCCTGGGTCGAGGGCTCTCTGAACTTCACTGGTGAACTAAAGGCTGCAGAAAAGCTTCCGTGCATCTCGGCCAAAACAGCACCCAGCATGACGCCCTGTCCCAGCCCTCCTGACTCAGGGTGCAGAAGAGAACCGTCCAGCTGGAGATGACCCGGGCATCACCCGGAGCCCTCTTAGCCTTGGCGGATGAGGACGTGGCAGAGAGCGGCCCCAGCCAAGCCTGCCTTAGGACCTGGGCCGGCCCGTGCTGCAGAGGGAGCGGTGCTCCTGGGAGCATAGGCCTGGACCTTTCGAAGCTGCCATGCCACCCTGATGAGATGGCAGACAGATCTGCTGAAATCTGGATTCTACTGGAAGGCGGCGGAGGCTACACTGGAGCATGGCCATCTTCTTCCACAGTGGACCGTTCACCCGTGAAAGGCAGAGACTACCTCGGAGGAAAGCTTTCGTGACATCAGAGAGCAGGTCCCTAGATGTGTAGCCTCACCAGCTGAGGCATTTGCCAGATCTGCCGGAAGGTGTGTGCACGCCCCGTAGAAGGCTCCTGGCTTGCCCCTGGGCGGCCAGCACTGGGCCTCGGCTTCCCAAAGGCAGAGACGATGTGTTCAGCCCCGGATGGACACGTCATGAGTAGCTGCCGACGTGCAAGACAGGCGGGTGATGCGTGGCTGGGCCCAGCAGAGAGGCGCGACACAAACAACCCTGGCGCTCCTGGGTCCACTTCTGCAGATAAGACGTCACCGTGGGGCTTACTGAGCAGGGTGTGGACTAGTGCTGGGCTTTGGTGGGAGGATGGATGCTCCGAATGCCTCCCTTAGGGCTAGTGTGGAGGCTCCATCCCGAAGCGCCTTCAAAATCCACAAAGACTGTATGCGGACTGTTCTGAAGTCAACTTCCAACTCAGACAGAAGTCAGCCCGGCAGCCCCGAAGGGGCGGCCCCCAGCCCTCACCGGGAACAGACGTGAGCCTCCAAGGGGCTCAGGGGGCCTCTGGGGCCCTCATGGGCAGCTTCTCCGTCCTCCCCAGAGACCCTCCTCCTGTCCTCTTTCTTGCCCAAGCCTGCGGTGTGCCTGTGGGGTTGGGTCTGTGGGATCCTCAGAAGAGACTGTATTGAGGAGGGCACGTGTCTAAAGGGAACCGTCACGCACGTCAGTAGGGAAACCAGCTTGGTGGAGCCAGCCGGGTCTCCGGGAGCCTGGGAGAAGGTCCTCGCTCCCAACAGCCTGTGCCACCTGCGTGGCGGGTTCCCTGGGGACGCACAGGACTGCGGCTTGGCTGGCAGGGCAGGAGTTTGCAGGAGTCCTACGGAAGGGCGTGAGCCTCCGCTGTGCATCGAGGACCCAGGGGAGCCCCCGGGGACATGGAGCCAGAAGGAAGCAAAGCAGAGCTGTGCGTGCGTGTGTTTTGTCCAGAGGAAACTGGTTATTTGCTTAATTTGAAGGAAATGGAGCCTTGGGAAGCCGGCTGGCTGGGGTAACCTTTAGGTTGATGGCTGAGGGTACGTGGGGCACACAGCCCAGGGTGTGGGGCTGTCCAACTCCCTGGGGCAGCATCCCAGG